CCTCATCCATCACACCCCAACAATAGAGATGTCGTCCACTCCCCTGACAGCTGCTCAGCCACAGCCCCCTTGCAAGTGTGTCCCGTGCAACTGCATGTTTGTGTTTACGTGTGTGCAAATAGAAAAATGTTTCTGTGTATCGTGAGCTTCAATTAGGACGAAATGATCTTGATATTCCCTCCATGTTGAAACACAAGACTCCACATCACCTGTTTGACACCGGCATTGTAGTGTGTTGAATGGCATTCGTTTATAGACACTTAAACAGATTGATTATTCCTTTGTTGACACTGACATGTCATCTCCTCCGTGATGTATTAAGGAAACTTTTTAATTAGAGGAGAAATTAGAACCGTGTGCTGCATAATCATCGGTGCGAATAAGCAAGGAGGCGAATCAAAGAAAGAAAAACTGTACGGAGGAGTCTTTGTGTGTAGAGAGGAAGAAGTAAGGCTGGTGATGTATGATCAATTAGTTTTTATTGAACTTCCGTCTGGAAACCCTGTCTCTCTGACGTGCGTCCATGTGCGTGAGTCCACCTTGCTCGTATGCCCACGTCACGCTGGCAGCACCATCTGGAGTTCTGTCCGGCCCAGCAAGACACACACACACACACTCACCCAAACAAACACACACACACACTCCATGTCCTGCTTCTGGTCAGACAGCCAGGTGGCATCACACCAAATCAAATAATACACACACGCTGCGACCCATATTACACCAACACACCCCTCAACCTTCTTTCTATATGTGCACATGGGCCTGAGTAACACACAGTAAGGGTGTGTGTGTGTGTCAGTCGATCTGTCTGTCCCTCCGTCTGTTGCTCTCTGTGCCACTTGGCCCCGATCTCCGCCTTGGACCAAGAATAAGAGCTACAACGTAAAAGAGCTCTGCCTCCACTTGTGTGTGTGTGGTGTGTGTTTCAGAAGACAACTTCTAAAAAAGAACTCCTTTCAGGGGTGTCAGATGGCAGCCGATTGTGTTGGTGTGTGGAGGGGAGGAGGAGACGACGGGGGCGGATGGAGGAAGGGATAGAGAAGAGAGAGAAAGGAGGAGGGGAAGATTGCTCTGTTCTCTGCTCTTTTGGCTTTTGTTCTCCTTGATAATAACTCTCCACTCCCTGACTCCAAAAAACCAAGGGAACCCCCACCCCTTCCTCCTTCACACTGAAAACATGGTGAAAAGTGAAGCTAACACTTAACACGATTATTAATGCCATAATAATCTACATCAAGGTGTAGCATACAGGGGATTGTCTTCCAAGCTTGCAGGATGATTGTCGCTCGAGCTGCAACTGTGTCAGTTTTCTCATAGTCAATTATAAATGTCCTTACTCGCCCTAAAAAACTGAAACATGCTCTAATTGGTTCCAAAAACCGAGCAGGGGGACAAAACAGAGATGTATCACTGCCAACAGCCTGGAGGTCAGCGGAGCGTCTTTGTCCTAATCTGCCAGGCCCAGAGAAGACGACAGAAATCTGGGTAGAGACGGAGAGGACCACATTTCCACCATGATACCACCAGCTACAGTCATAACGATCACAATCTCTGTCTGCAAAAGTCGATGATAAATATTGGAAAGCAAACGGTGATGGGGGGAAAAGAAAGTAAAAGACAGCGAACGTTGTAGTGAAAAACACTGTTCTGTTTTCTGTGACCTGGTTGAGTAGAGCAGCATCTGCAACCCACATGAAATCTAAAAATACTCCCGCACCATTGACTGCTACTATGCTGTGGCCTCAGTAGGTAGATGAATAGCTGTGAGTATGGTATGCTGGTGTGCATATGTTAAAGTGGAAATGGGCTATGGGCTTTATTCTAAGGCTGTCTTGTTGAGCCTCGGCTAATTATGCTATTTAAAAAAAAATTCTAAATATGCCGCCATTGTGTAGTTTTGTGTTCCTTTTGCTGAGATGCAACAATTACAGTAAATACATGTATGCTGCATATACATTTATACAACACCGCTTCTAAGTGTTTACCATTAGTTTACAAAATAAAACTGCTTTCATCTGTGACATCGTATTCAGAGAAGTTACTCAAAACTGAAATGATTGGGCCAAAGTTACTATCCATGGAAAACTATTAAGATCTTTTATTATCACTGGCATCACCTGCCTTATCATCAAGTATGCATTGGAGCAGGTGGTAAACACTATGACGCTTCTAAGGAAACATTTGTTAGTGCCATTTTACCACAGACCTGCATTCACCACTTGTAAATGTGCAGTTTTTTAGTGTCACATGGGATGTTGCCATAAATAAAATGGCAAGAAAATAAAGATTTGACATGCTGTTATTATTATCATCTTATTCAATGAATTGTTACCAACAAAAAGATAAGTTGGATGCAACAGCAACAATAACAGAAGTGGCCTCGAATGAGAAGAAACAGCAGTCTGTTTATACTTAAGGTAGTAAGTGTTAATAAAATATATATTTATACTGTAAGGACTGTGGCTTCATCCTCATTGCTTTCACCACAATGCATTCTCAAAACTTAAGTATGCATTTGATTGATTTTCAAATCTATATCTCTAATATGCAAAGGTCACTCACAGGCAATCCATTTCCATTCCAGTTAAGTAAAGACAAATATCTGGTTTTCTTTCAAACAGTCTTTCCTTCCTCTGGAGAATTCAAATAGCTTATGTTTACCTAATCTAAGTCTAAACCTAAGTTTTCATTAGTCATGAACAGCAACGTTTGCTCAGGCTTTCTTTCAAATACAGAAATGAAGCCAAAAGTACAAGCTTGGATATTTAATCAACTTATGGATGGAAGTAATAACATACTTATAAGAAAGCTGTAGCTACAGTAAAGTTTATTTATTTGCTTTTTCTTTTTGCTTGTATTCTACGATGCTGGTTAGACTTTTAGACTGAAAAGGCCAAATGATAAACTCACACTCAGGTGTGATGCTTTGATCTGATTTTTGACACACACACACACACACACACACACACACACACACACACACACACACACACACACACACACACACTCCTCCCCTCCCGCACCTGCCTCACTGCACAGGTGCGAGCGGGAGCGTGAGGCTCGAGCCGCTCCTCCAATTAGAATCACCGAGCGTGACCACGTGAACAAACCCCGTCGTGTAAATTCCCGTTGAGCGGTGAGCAGCTCGGACAGATCGGTGGCACAGACACTGAGTGACGGCAGCAGATCTCAGGTAAGCTGCTGATGTTTCTCCTCTTTCTTTCTGTTTCCTTTCTCTCTCTGTCCGCGCTGTGTCCGGACAGTGTGCGGGGACATGCGGGGCTCTGGAGCTCTGGCTGAAACGCATCGTCTCCAGCGGGTGGTCCCTTGCTGTCCTCCGGACAGGACGGAGCAGCATCACGGGCTTCGGTGGCTGCTGGTGCACGGTCTGCGCATTGAAACTCACCCGCTCCTCCTTCCCTCCCTCACCCTCTCTCCCCCCTTCGTCTCTCGGTCTATTGATAGTTGACAGAAGCCTGGTGTAATCCCTCGGCTGGTTTGGCTCAGCGGACGTTTCGCGACACAGGAATGTTGATTGAACTTTATTCTGCTTGGAGATTTGTCTGAATTGGTAACGCCCGCATGGAGTGATGGTGTGATGAGGGAGAGAAGAGGGGGGTGGGGGTCTTCTTCTTTTTGGTGCTGCATGCAGCCTGCAGCCGAGCACAGGCAAGAACCTTTTATTGCTGAATTATTTATAAGGCTGTCTGCTTCTCTTGGATGGAGAAGTCACGGTGAGGATATAGGTTAGACCATGCAGGCTCCCTCTAACCCCCCTTACAGCAATTAAAGGTAGCCTGTGGCATCTTATTTAACTACATGTCTGATTGTGTTAAAACTAGTACAATAAAAAAATGGAGATTGAAAACAGTGGTTGAATGTAAAGTAGAAAGAAACTGAGGTACTTGTTTTCCACTCCGGAGGGAAAGACTGTCCCTTTAACTCCACTATATTTATTTATGTACAAGCCAGGCTGTAGATTCAGATACGATCAACTAATAAATGACTAAATGTTTTTATACAATACTTGCAGTACTTACAAATAATAAATCACTGTGTAATAGAACACAATCATTTGTTAAAAAGCTGATCATAAAAATTAAAAATGTATCACTGGCCAACATTGACTGTAAATAAAGATGGACAACGCGTCTCCACACGTGCTCGACCAATCACGAGTCAATCTGAGCAAAATGGGGATGTTTCAGTCTGTGTTTATAGCATCAATAACTAAACTTATCAGAAACACCAACATCTGTTTGATGAGAACAACCTAAAATGTGTCGGCCTACTTCGACTTTTGTTTAGGAGGTATACTGCAGCCGGCCACCAGGTGGCGATTGACACATTTTGGCTTCACTTTTCACCACTACACAAAATAAATCAAGAGCAACACGATGCCATCTCTATAACATCGTCATGTGTGTGTGCGAGAGCTCCAGTCGCCTGTCTCCCTTCGTGTTGTAGGTAAATGTCAGAGCTAATGATACGCTGCTGGAATAAGACCTGAGCCCAGTTTGTTTGTAAACATCATTTCCCCATGTGATTAGAGGGCGTTAACTTGAATATAAATGTAGAGGCGTCACAAACTGTCCACTCTGTCTTCTGGCCTCACGAGGTCCCATGTGGATTGGAAGGCTGGGTGGCTTTATGAGCCATGTTCAACACTTGAAATGCAGATGAGTATAAATTGGATTGATTGATTGATTGAGATGAATCAAGTGAAAACACATTTAAAAACAAAATATGAAATAATGATGATGAAGTGTAATTTCCCCTTCAGTGGGTTTCTGCCTTATTACATCCACACTCCTCCAGAACCAACCGACCTGTCTGCGCATGCACTCTCCCTCGCTCTCTCTTTTTCTCTCTCTTTTTCTCTCTCTCACTCCCTCGCTTTTTCTCTCTCTCTTTTCCTCACCCCCCCCCTCTGAATTTCTCTCTCTCTCTCTGACTTCCCTCTCCACCACCCCCACCCCCCTCTCTCATGTCTCGTGCAGACCAGTAGGCGGCTCCTCGCGCTCTCTCTGCTCTGAACCGTCTCGCGCTCCTCGCGCTCCGCTGTCCCGGTTGTCAGGGCACCTACAGTCAGTGACTCCGGCTCGCGCGGCGGTGACAGCTCTCACTCCGGCTCCTGTCGGATTTTTTGGTTCCGTCGTGTGGATGGATTTGTTTTCACTGGCGGACATTTAACCACCAAAACGCAGTAAGTCTGTTCACGTCACATTGAAACTGTGGGTTTTCCTTGTATTTCCACGCAGAGGCAGAAGTTTAACGTGTTAGTTCTTCCTCTTTGCTTTCGTTTTTAAATAAAGTAAAAGAGGAACTTTAACACGTGACTAAACGTCCACGTTCCTCCCGGTTTACAGAGAGCGTGTTGGTGTGAAAATGAAATAACCCGAGAGGAAAGAGACGAGGAGAGCAGACTCATCATCTTTTAGCTCATCTTTCATAGCAGGTGTCTAATAACCCACTTCCGCATTGGAGCTGTGAGATATCATCACTGAGGTCTGTTTTTAAAGCCTAACAATCCCCTCACACTCTCACACGTTAAATGATCACTTACAAATATATCTTTATACACACACACACACACACACACACACACACACGAGCCAGTGTTTTGAAGCAGTTTCATCCTCGTGCCTCGTTCCCTCAGTATCAGCGCGCGTGCCTTTGTTTCTGCACCGTGCGTGTGATCCGGTGAATGACAGGGGAAACGCTGCTCCTCTCGCTTCCTGCTGAACCAGCTCGTTGACATACCTCAACACGAGCTACGGTGAAACATTGAAACAGCAGAAACGCCTCATTCCAGCTGAGGGATCACAACAGTCATTATCAGCCCCTCAGTGTACAAAGGTCCCTTCAGGCCTGCCTGCTCTGGATCATGTGAGATCTTGATGCTGAAGCAGCAGAATTGCAGGTTTCTGTTTTCTGTTTCTGACTGACGGGCTAATTGAAGTGTGTCTGCCCTCTGCTGTGGTCTCCTGTATGGCTGCTTTATGCCTGGTGGTCCCCCGGCCCTTTGCCTTTGGGTTATTTTGGTCTGCTCAACCCTGTTTATGTCTTTCAAAGTGCCTAACACTTGAGCCACACCTGCCCCGGTTAGTTAGACATGTAGGGTGTCTTTGTGTCACTGCCCTGCCCTTATATACCTCACCCTTCTGGTTAGAATTGATTTAACACAGACTTCTTTAAGCTTCTTGAAGCCACATAACGCTCCTCTTGTGCACTGGACTTGAGTTATTACATCCTTGTTTTTGGTGTGTGTGTGTGTGTGTGTATGTATGTGTGTTATTGCTTCTTTATTTGAGCGTCTTGGAGCTGTCTTACGCGTGGACGACTCAATGAGAAAGTGTGTGTGTGTGTGTCTCTATATTTTAGTTGTGTATGCTTCAGGCCCCTGTGAGCACTTACCCAGACTCTTTCTCATAACTGCTGACTTGGCAATGAACTCTATCGATATCGACAAAATAAGAGGATGAGAAGGAGGGAGAGAGACTGAGATGCTGTTGTACGATCACAAAACATATTCTGTTTTGTCCTTTTCAGTATTCTTCAGGCATTCTCCTCTAATAGGATTTATTATTTTTTATTTCTATTTTCATTTACATGGACAGTTTTTATCCCTTGACATTGTGCATTATTTGGTTATCTATCTTGTAATCTGATGCTAATTTGACATTGTGAGAAACTACACCTATCTTTTACTGCTCTATATTTAGTTTGCTCCTCCTAATATCAAACAGGAGATTGAAGCACCTACAGTCAATTTCGATTGCTTCAGGGGATTTGGAAATTGATTTAATTTACACTAATGGAACTTCTTTGGGCCCGGGTACCCAGATTAAAGACAGACGAGGTACAGGGAGCATGCAGGAGAAAGACAAACACACTCTAACACAGACTCAGTGTAATGACAGCATAGAATCACTGCCGCAACCAGAAAAATCACAGATCTTTCTTAAATTGTTCTGATAAATTGTTGAGAACTTCTCCACACTTGGTCAAATGAACACTTCTTAGTTTATTTCCAGTTCAGTTTTGTTTATTTAGCCTGTCTGAAAGGGTTGTGCAATCTGTACAGTTTACAAGACCCTTCATCCATGTATCCTCAATTCTGAAGAGGAAAGACTCCCAAAATGTTTAATTAAAGAAAAAAGGAAGACGACGCTTCAGAAAACCTATCAGCTCTATTCTAAAAAATGAAAACGTATAGTCTCTGATTTGTTCATTCTTAAGTTTCTCATCTTTTTCTTGCCGGTCTGCTATCATCTCTTCCCTAGTGTAGCTTTGTGTGTGTGTGTGTTTTTGGTGTCTGTTTTATCTGCCCCTGGAGCACCATCATGGTTCCTTGGCTGCCTGGTTTCTGTTTCGCTTCTTGTTCTGTTCTTGCTTTAAACAGTTTAAAATCTCAGTAACACACACTCAGTCAGCGAGGACACACAGTAGCAGTCTTGGGATGTCTCTCTCTCTCCAGCCACTGCCTCTGCAGCGTATGTGTATTCTGGTGCCCTGTGCCTATCAGCGAAACAGGAGTCTGGCCACCACTTCTCATATTCTAGCACACAGCAGCACATTTGGAGTCTCATCTGGCAGGGAAATGTAGCCTTAATCCAATTGGCTGTATGGTTTAGTAAAAGCTGTCATAATTGGCTGATAGGGCAGCTGGCTGCCAAGGTCCCAGTGAGCACAACAGGGAGTTGAGGAGAGTCCCAGTGGTGCTGTGGTGCAGGAGAGACTGAACAAAGGGCAGGGAGCAGGGGAGTGAACCACTCTTTTGAATATTCCTCCACTTGGCAATTTTCAAGGAGCCATCTGCACTCTGCTGACTCAGATCCATCCAGATGACCATATCTCATTTACAACTGTGCTGTTAGACACACACACACACACACACACACACACACAC